TGAGGCCTAATTGGTATGATCTAAAACTTTTTGATAAGTGTTACTATTAATTATTCTGCATTTTACTGTTCAAGTCCATTAGCTACCTCACATAGATTTTGTGCATGGATGTCACATTTCATGCACAAGCCACTTTTGCCAAATCCTTTGAAGTATCTCTTAATTGACAATATCGTTGACAACATTTCAAACGATTTTTTACAAATGGCTTCACGCATGAGAGTTATGGACAAGTGGCTAAAGAGATTAGCGAATTGGCTTCATGCATGGGGTTACAGACAAGTGGCTTCATAACATATGGCATTTGTTATGATAAGAGGCCGTTTCACAGCTAATAAATAACTAGTCGAAATCCTATTATTCTGCAATCATAAGCGTCCTTCAACAACTCTTGTACGCCTGGTGTTTCTTCCTGTGATTTTTTTCTTCAACAAACTATTAACTGTTCCTGTTGTTATTCCTCTTTTCTGACTTGCTGAATTGTTATTTAAATTTTGTTGCTCCTACTGCCTCATAGAGGCAAACTTGTTTAATCCGGGATGAAATAGTTTCTTTGATTGTTGAAAGCAAGGAAAAATATTGACAATATTTATATATGAGGATTCATACCGTCAACCCCAACTTTGTTTGGGACTAAGGCGTAATTGTTGGTTTTGTTATTGCTATTTATATATGAGCAGATATATGTGGAGTTTGTGTCGTGTTAGACACTGTCCTAAAACAGGACGATGTCTAGTATGACTCAAGCTCCTTGTTATCTCCTCATAAATAAATAACTATTTTAGTGTCATTATTTATCACTTACTTATTTCAGCAGTATGAAACTTCTCTCAGGATTAAAGTAGCCTTCCTCTTATGGAAAAAGGAGTACCCGAACATCAAAATTTAAATAACAGCCAACAACTTATGAGTGGAAAAGAAGAAAAGATATAGTAGCTAAGCATTTGTATGGAGATTAATTGTATAGAAAATAAGGCTAAAGAGAGTAGATATTAGGATAAAGTAATAATTCTGATGCACGAGGAAGCCATAATTAGGCCAATTTTTTGTATGTTCATGAAGGAGTAAAAATGGGGTATTTATAGGAAGAGGAGATGTTTCTAACCATGCCATTTGTTATGGTTACATGTTAAGTGGCAAGACACTTGATTATGTCCACTTGCCACTTAGCAAAACATGAAGTCACTCATCCATATACATTTTCCACTTAAACAAATAGCTTATGCGTAGATTCACCTTCAAGCGCTTGTCAAACATCTTTTACATTTGAAAAACTGGGCATGAGAGAGCTGTTGAAGGAAGGCTTATGAGTGCGTGTGATTGCAAATAATGTAGTTATGATTAGCTAATTATAGGATGTAAAATGGTCCCTTGGCATGACGAGTGTCATAGGCCATGAAGTCACTTGTCCATAACATACTTGAAGGGCCGGACTACAAAGGTCTATTGTGGCGCAGCCTTGTCCGGACTACAATCTTTTGAAATATTGGTAATTTAGAGATATTTCAAAAGATTTGGGACAAATGGCTTGTGCATAGAAATGTAGCATCCATGCGTAAGATCTATTCTAGGTTGTTAATGGCCTTGAACAAATGGCTAAAGGACCGCTTACACTTGGCAAGATAGAGATTGATGTTAAGGTGCTTTTAGCAGTTAAATGGACCTCATGACTCTGAGTTGCAAAAATTAGTGGGGTATACGCCCAAAAACAATTAGTTCTGTACCATATATATATTCAGATTTTTCACTGACATTATAGTGTTATGAAAAATTCTCATTTTCCTTTTGTGTTCATGTTAATCTTGGTATTAATTAAATGCGGTAACAGGTGGTGATGGCCATGAGAACCAAAGGCGGTGAGCAAGCTGTATTTCAAGCCCTGAATCGTGCTCAGGAACTGTACAGAAATAAAGTACAGGCAAGTGTGGCTGCAGATGAGCTGGCTTCTTTATTTGCTGAGTGTGCCATTGCTGAGGCCATGCCTCCTGTATCCCAACCGTCTGAACATAATACAGTGGATAAACCAATTGAAGTAGATGTTGATGGAATGTCAATACTAGCTGAAACTGGCAGAAAACAGATAATGCTTGATGCATTCTCTGATGGAACCAGCTTTGTCTGCTTACACTGTGGGGGTCTAGTTAGCACGCACCGCAAAGATGAGCACTACTCATTCTGGTGTTGCAAAATGTGACATAGTTTGCTACTTGATTGGGTTACATCTCCTTGCTCGGTCTTGGACTGAGTGCTACATTTTTCATGTCATTACTCATCATGAGAGGCTTATATCTCGTGCATGGTGCTTGTGCACCATAGGTGGTAGTTTCTACTATATACATAACCTGCTCTTGGTTCCAGATGTACTCTCCTTAAAGGCATGTTGCTGTAAGCGTTACATGGCCAATTTGGTGGCTGAAGTTATGAATGCCTGAGGTAGTACTCATTACTTAACGTCATATGGTTAGATATTGGTTACAGCAAATGTATTCGGTTCTAGGAGTGTGTTTGTGCACATTTGTGCTGTTTAAGATGTTTTCAAATAATACGCATGTCCCTTGTGTGAGCTTGTAAGTTATGGTTGTGTCAAACTTAAAGGTGTCAAAGGGGTGGGCCGGGCCCGGTCGGAAAAAAAAGTGACCGTCCGGTCACCAATCCGGGCCAGTTACTGGTTTTTCCATACCGGGTTTAATGGGTTCGGGCCCATCCGGTTAAATATTGAACCGGAATTGGGTTTATTTAAATTTTTTTTTTTGTATTTTGTATAACTATCGTAATTTATATTAATATAAAGTAAAAATATAAAACAAAAAAATAATTTTATAAAAAGAGTGTTTGAATAAATTTCAAAGACTTTAAAACTCTTATATTTGAAATATTCATTAGGAATTTAAGATAATACAATGAACATGAAAAAAATATAACTTATAGTATAAATCTTATATTGGATACTTAAGCGCTATAATAACTTGATATATAAGGATAAAACTTCAAAGGCTTTCATAGTTCCATTTCAAATTTTCATTGCATAATAATATTTTAAATTAATCTAACAAACTAAAACATTAAGCATAAATACGTCTAATAATTTTAAAATAACACAAATTGTCTCAAATCAACTTAAATACGAATTTATGAAGGACACTCAAGACAACTCTTCATATGCCTCCTTAAACAGCTCGTGCCCACCCACTTTAGACGAAGATTTAAGACTTGACCACAGTTCTTGTACTTTACTTTGTGAACTTCTTCATTTTCTTCTACCACCTCAAAGTGTTCCCAGACATATGCGTGCACTCTAGAAGCACAGGGCATGATTTAACTTGAATTGAGAATTTAAGTTTGAGAAATGAGAGATGAGTGAAGAAATGAGGGGGGGGGAGTGTATTTATAGTTTTTCAAAGGGCTAAATTAGTAATTACTTAAAGTGTTATTTTTTAAAAAAAAAATTACCCAAAAACGAGCTATTCTTGCAAAATATCTGTTGGCCATTGGTCAAATTTGAAGCTGACGGTTGCCAACGGTCAAATGGATTTAAAAAATATTCAGAAAATAACCGTTGAAATTATTCAGGCTGGTCCGGTTAACTGGTTCAATAGTGTTTTCCCTTGGTCGGAGTTGACCGGTCTGGTTTACCGTGAAGAAAAATGTAAACGTCCCAACCCCCTAACCCCCCAAACCCAGCGCTACTCGGCCCCCTACTACCGGTCTAGGTTAATACCGGTTTGGGCCGGTCCGGAAACAGGTCAACCTGACCCGTTAAACACCCATAGTCAAACTTGTGCTTAACAATCTTTTCACATCTGAAGATTAGCATACTGGCCTCATTTGTTTTTTTAAGATTAAGACATCTGAATCTGAATATACATATGAATATTAAGATATGTATTAAGATCTGAATACTAAATGATTACGATTATTTGATTTTTAATATCTGAATGTATAAACTTTATCTTTATTTGAAAATTAATGAACATAAAATTCAAATGAAATATTAATTAATCTAATATTCTATCAATAAAATATATAAAAAAAATTTAAAATATGGCAGTTGCTGGTGGCGATGGCTAACGATGGTGTTTATGAATGTCGACTATAGCCGGTGGTTGGTGGTAGGTTTGGTTGATGATTGTGGTTCAGGGTAGTAGCTAGTGGTGACGATTATGATTGAGGATGGTGGTGGTGAGTGATGATAGTTAATAGTGGCGGAAGGTGGTAGTAGATGTGATTGAAGAAAATGGTGGTGGGTAGTGGTAGTTAATAATGATGTGCAGTGTAGGTTATGGTTGTTGATGGTGATGGGGTAGTTAGTTGTGGTAGTTGAGGTGAATGAGTGTTGTTTGTGTTTGAGAATGATGACGGTGGGAATGGTGCGGATGATAGGTAGTGGTAATCGATTATGGTGGCGGCTATGATTGAGAATGATGGTGGTGGTGGTTGAGTATGGTGGCGGTGATGGTAGAATGGTGGTAGTTGATAATGGTAGGCGATGGCGACAATTAACAATGGACATGGATGATAGCACTTAATGAAATTAAATCTTTGTTATGAATCTTAATCATACAACCTATTCGAACCCATTAAGTGGTTGTGAAGTAAAAAAAACAAACACATTTAATGATTAAGATCTGAATAATTAAGATTCAGAAAAACAAATGCACTTAAATGTCTGAGATCTGAATGATTAAGATTCAGACCTCCATTAAGTGGAAACAAATGAGGCTGCTATGCTGGTATAAGTAGCATGACCCCCAACTTCCAGAACATATCACCAAAAGAAATGCAAAAAATACCCTCACTCTAACATAGCATTCCATTGCAAATGCACTCACGTACACTGCAACTGGTTGCTAGTTTAACTAGCTTGGTTCAGGTGAAGAGACAAAANGGGGGGGGGGAGTCTCTATAAGCTATGTTCTCCATAAATACATAAAGTGAAATGTTATTACACTACCATTTTGATACAACAAGAAAAAGGGACCAAAAGAAGTAAGTCCAGCTGCTATAGAAAATGCTGCATATTTCATTATACTTTAACCAAAATCAATGTTGTGCTTACACAATGTACATTACACAAATTTATCAAGAATGACCAAAACAAATTCAAACAATAGGATCTTTTGACATGCTTCTGTGACCTGACGGAGGAATTCCTTCAAGTTTATGTTATTTGCCAAAATGTATACACAAATCTCCTATAACTAAAATCTACTGGCAACTTCACCATCCACTTTCTAAGTATTGTTCAGCAATTACTGAGGCAATCCTAATGTAGCTTCAATATATTCACAAGATGCTGCTGATGAATAACCACAGTTTAAAAATTCAAAGATCTAGCAACTCCAACTAAACCACTCCTTTAAGAACACCCTAATACCAAAATCCCCTCCACGGCTCGACCACTTGAACTGCAACCTGCACATATAATACCTGTATTGCAAATGGCATTAACCCATGTTCTTGAAAATAAGTTACTACCTAATAAATAGATAAAGGCTCAATAGATATAGCAAATTGAAGTGCGTCTATGACTAGGCAATTTGACCTTTATGTCAATGCTTCTCGTTTTTTACATTTTCCCTTCAAGTAAGAAACGACAGAATTTTATGCTTCTTGATAAACCATAATATAGCTCCCAATTCACTGTTTATGTTGCAATGTTAGTTATCCAAGTTAAGCATAAGTGTGGCCACGCGTCGGACACTCCTACTGTAATTTATTCCTTGAATAATTTTTTTTTTTGTCCATAACGAGGACGAAATGCTTCCATTACCAAAATATGGAACCATGTGAAATCAGTCAAACGAGTGTTCATTTATCAATTTTATGGAGGCAAAGGCAGTTAAAATCTCAGAAAATAAGAGACAAATCACAGTATAATTAAAAAAATAGACTTACCAGCACTTATTTCCAGCTTCTTCCTGTACCATGTGTTGGGGTCAAAAGAGATCAGAATAGAATATACAGTTGGCATGAATAAGCTAGTGACCATTTCTGCACATAATATCTGGCAGAGCCTGGGTACGGGGCCGTGATCTCATAATTGTTTCATCACTGTGTCTAATCCACTCAGAGAGTTTCCAAGGTTTTTGCCACTTCCATTTGAACTGTAATAGCCACTGATGATGACTTCTCTTCCACCTCCACAGCTTCCCACCTTGTCCTGCTCCTGTTAATTTCTTCATCGTCAATTGGCCTAGTGGCACCATCTGCATCATTAGAGCTTATTATCAGCCATTTTTGTTAATAATGGTAAACTTGAGTTCGGCAACTGTCAAAGAGGTAGGAAAAAAAACATTAGAGCAACCTTTCGTGTTTGATCTATAAAGGCTGCTGCCTCTCTGACTGACGCATTAGCAATGCCAGCTGAATATTTGAGCTGTTTTTGTGCTGGTACAGGGATTGGAGACGGTGGACCGCTCATCTCATCAACAAATTGCTTGTTAGAGATAACCTGTTTCTCATGGCAACATCATCAGTATAGGGAAAATGTAAAACATAAGAATGTAATCCATTCTGATCTTGTAACTACAGTTCAACAGTATGCATAAACATGATGCACTTAACCATATAGCACGCAGACTCAATCAGGCATTTCTTTCAAAACTCAAAAATATTACTATCTAAAAGCCTTGCATGTTTCCCTTAAAATAAGATCTAAAACACTTGATATATAATCTGGGACTAAAGAAAGTAAAATCCTACCGAAGCTGGGGAAGCCAATGCATCTTGAACAGCTTGCTTAAGCTCCTTTTCAACTTCCTTTCTCCTGATTTCACTCTGCCGCAATAGACCAATGAGTTCTTTCATCTGCTCTTTCATTTCCTTGGTCTCAAGTTCCTTCTCCCAAAGTTGGCATCTGGATGACATAATGAGGGGTTAAAGCAAAAAAAATCCCGCGGGCTGCCGCAAATAGAACTAAATGAGATGTTGCTTCTTCAAATTTGTTTTTAGTTAATAGCTGGACGTCATGTCAGAAATCATCCAGAATTCATATGCACTTTGAGGTAGAGACAGTTATCCCAAGCTATGTTGCTCGGATACGGTTGCGGGTGTCCGACACGGGCGCAGATCTAGAGATTGGATCCTTCAAGATGTAAATTCTAAATTTCGGGGATACAGATCCTAGTACGGATACGGGTGCAGGGATACGTCTAAAAATAATTGAAAAAATAAAAAACATAAAAATATCTCTAAATTATGAAAATTTTGTGGAATATTTACGAATATCTTGTAAAGTGTGGATTTTTTTTTATTCTCAAGTTATAGATAAGTAAATGATTGATTTCCTAGATAAGGTATGCTATTTTCTTCAAATTTACCCTAGATTTGGTTCTGATTTCGGGAATCAAATTGTATCTCGTCTCGAATTTTTCCGTCTGTCATGGTCAAAGTACCCAAAATTGTTTGACCACATCCGGTACGGATCCCATACCCACACCCATACTAGTTTCGTGTCGACACGGGTGCGGCACCTAAGGTCCTAAACTGCCGTGTCGGAGCAACTTAGACCCCAAGTACCATATGAGATAGTGTTCAGTTAGGGTATCGTATGCACTCATTCCTAAGGAAATCTTCCAAGGTTCTGTCTTCCTTCCTTTTTTTTTTTTTGAGTGGAACTTTTTTGACTGGGATGATGTGGAATTTTACACTTGTGTAAACATATGGAGACTAAATGAACTCTCTAAGGTAAAGACAAGACCTGCTTACCCTTTTGGAACCCGCTTTCATAACCTTTTGACGTCCCTAGCTTACCAAGATACAAAATCTTTTTGGGTTGAAAACTCTCACTACTGGACCTAAGCAGTATGCTCCTAATCCACATTCCACAGCTAAGCTCAAAAGACCTATCTAGTGTTTCAGATAGTTTTAGTTGCAGTAGACCTTCAGTTTCTCTATTTCCTTTCGCAATTCCTTCTTTAATACAGAGCATAAAGATTCTAGTTATTTCTACTTATCAAGCTTCAGATAATAACAACTCATACTACAAGATGCAAAACACATCAGCAGATACCTTGCATCAGCAAGAGAATTGAACATATATTGGAGTAAACTTTTTGCATCCCCCATTGAGCGGAGCTGGTTCCAACGCCCACGATTGCTGAAGGCACGCTCTCGTTCTTCTGCTTCTGAAAGTTGTGAAGCCATGGCAACTAGAGAATTGGATGAAATGCTTAACATATTCTCAAGGGAAGCAATTCGTGCCGTTCTAGCATTTGGCGACATTGAAGATGCCCTGAACAGATAACCATGAATAGAAATCCATTACACCGAACTTGCTTTAGTAGTTTAATGTAGTTAATGCTCTTCCAGCTGCATTTTGGAGAATTAAAGAATCCACTATTGGCTGAAAGATAAGAAGAGTTTAGTATACACACCTAGAGAAACCATTTTTACCCCTTGGAGGACTCAGTCCTTTTGAGGCAAATTCATCAACTTGTCTCAACACTGCTAGCTCTTCACCCAGTGCAGCTCGTCTGAGATGAAAAGAATCAATTTTAAGAAATTCAAAGAACATGAATTGTTGAGTGTGTACACATTAAGAGAAGATTTCTTTAGGTAAACTAAAGTTTATTACATACACTTGACTTTGCTTCTCATACTCGTGACGAACTTCATGAACATTCACCATCACTTCAAGCTCATGATCAAGCCAACGTTGCAATGATTTCTCATTGCTCTGAATGCAAAAGATACTTGAGTAAATTCTTCGATCGAACAGGTACAGAAACAAAATCCATTAGAGTCCAAAAGAGAGCTAGATTAGTACCTGTCCATTTGCTATGTGGCCATTGCTAGTAATGTGGCCATTGCTAGTAACTGCATGTTAAACACAACATATGTAAAAATGAACAGTTAAAAGTTCAGAACTTAGTAGAACTTCAATGGAACTTTATATGAGAGCAAATTTCTTGATACCCTTTATTATAATTAGAAACAGAAATGCACAGTGATCCACAACAAAGGCATCAGATAAAGCTCAATGCAGTGCAAACCTGAGTTTTCACGACCTGAAGATTTACGTGCTTCTAGCAATTCTTTCAGTCTCTTGGTTGCCATTGCAGCCTCCTCTGTCTTTCTTTGAAGAACCTGAAATAAATCCATGATGTCATATACAATTCAGATATTTACTGTGATCACCTCCTTACACGAGCTTGACTCTTGTCCACATTATTCTAGTAAAGCCACCAACTTATGTTACCCACTAAATCAATGCTGTCAAATGTACTATAGCCACAATATGAGCAGGAGGGGTACAGATAGATGTTCAAGTGGCTGAATTTTTTCGTAAAGGATAACAAAAATTGCCACTTACACACAGGGGCGGATCTACGTTGTAGAGAGGGGTGGCACGCCACCCGCAAGCTTCGGTCGAGACAGTGTTTATGTTGTATATACATATATGAATATGTCTATATATTTAATGTGGCACCCGCAGTAATAAAACGTAGCATGATGCCACTGGCAAAGGGTTAAGGATTCCGCCTAAATGATGGGAGTTCGAATTCCACCTGGGACGTTTGTGTGTTCTGCCTTGGTTTTGCTCTTTTTGGCTTGAAGGAAATGCACTTCTTTTATTTCATATTTTTCTTTTTGGTAATTGTTTTTAATTCATATTTTTCTGTGTATTTCTCCCTTTTTTTAACGGAAAATACACATTTTTATATATATTTTGCTCTTTTGCCTTGCTGCAAATATACCTTTTTTTAAAAAAAAATATCCTGATTTGCTATTCTAAATTAATCTTAGTTAAATCTTTTTCTGTTTAATTAATTCTTGACTTTTTCTCTTTTTCTTTAAGTATTAGTCCTGGGTATGTGCAAGTGCAACCTCCATATTAATAAGTACTATACAATTTTAACAAATGACATAAATATTAATAAAATGGTTTTAGATAGTAAACTATAAAATAATAAAAAAAGGTTTAGATTTTAGAAAATGATGAAAGTTGACTATATTATAGTACTCTTTTAAATTTGTGTGGTTATTTTGATATTTCACTAAGAAAACATGGAGTATTTGCAAATGTAAATAATGATGTCATCATCGAACGTCTTCAGAATATAAAAACTTGAAGATAATTGTAATTGAAAGATTTATAACATTAGTAATACTTTTGATATTCTTATGATTTGTTCCAAGTTCTCATAATGATACATTTTTTTTTTAATTTGAACAAAAACGATGAATAATCCGAATCGAAGCTCAAAATGGATCAAACCGGCCAAATTTTACCCTATTTATTGGACCGTGTAAATAGCAATATGTTTACGTTCAACATAGTGTGGCACCCGGAACTTCCAAGTCCTGGATCCGCCTCTGCTTACACATCCATTTCATGAAGTACGATTGAAGATTTTTAAATTAGACTTTGGCCAGCAGATTAAAACTGCTGTAGAAAAATGAAAGGCGATGCAAAGACAAAGAGGAAAGTAAAATGCTCACCATCTTTTGTCGCTGATTTAAAGCTTGCAATTTATGTCTCTCATACTCATTCCTTCTCCCTTCCTTCCTTAACTGCATTTCAAGGAAATCTTTTTTGATAAGGTCCAAGGAAATTATTGTTGGTTAACAACATAAAGTAGAATTTCAACCAGAATTAATTGAACTTGCCTCAACAGTAATG